CTCGATCCCAGGACCCTGGGATCATGACCTGAGCCGAAGGCAGACGCTTAACGACTGAGCCACCCAGGCGCCCCCATCTTATTTTTTTTACCACATTTCAAGATACCAGGACATTTCACTTCTAAAGATTTAACCATGCACAGCATTAACTAGAGTTTAATATTTGTTAACGGTTTTTCTATTTTTTCCGCTTAACACATACAACAAAACGCTCAAATCTTGTGTACAATTTGATAATACCAGAAAGTTCTCTCGTACCTCTTCCTATCCAACTGCCAGAGACAATTATTGTTCTGATACACATACACGTTTAACACAGATTAGTCTTGCTCTTATAGAAGTTCATTACAAATGGAATCATACGATATGCTCTCTTTTACGTGAGGCTTCTTTCACTCAGCATGTTTTAAGAATCATCCATGTTGTCGGATGTATCATTAGTTTCTTCCTTTTTATTGCTAAATAGTATTCTATTTAATGAATGATTTTTTAATTTTTAAAAACATTTAATTCCCTTATATAGGAGGAAATTCTACAGTGAGTCTTTTTTAAATCAAATTACTGGAAAATCAAATGTTATTGGATAAAGTGGTTTCCTCCTTTATAAAAAGCAAACAAATAATTTTCATTGTAAAGTATGTGAAGCTCTCTAAAACGCACAGATGTATTCAATGAAATAACAGGCATCATGGTTAGACTGAGGAAAAGGTCTTTTCCAGTGCATGCTGTAAGATTAGGAACAAGGGGCAATCTCTCATGCATGTTAGGAAGAGAAATCAGATTTGGAAAATCACAAAGAATTAGCCAAATAATATTTGTGGGTTTTTTGTTCTTTTTAAGATTTTATTTACTTTGACAGAGAGAGAGAATGAGTGTGGGGAGCTGCAGAGGGAGAGGGAGAAGCAGGCTCCCCAGTGAGCAGGGAGCCCAACGCAGGGCTCGATCTCAGGTCTCTGGGATCATGACCTGAGCCAAAGGCAAATGCTTAATCTACTGAGCCACCCAGGTGCCCCTGGCTTTTATTAAGTCAGGTGGGAAAATATAGAAGCACTAAAATGTCAATATTTTTTCCCCTGATTTTTACTAATAGCCAGTAATAAAATATAAAGGAGCACCTAGCACCACTGCAATAAAAATAACAAAATCTTTGAACAAATGTGAGATATATACCAAATCTCTATAAATCATTGAGAGATGCAGGAAAAAAAAAGACAACATTTCCAGAGGGGATGACTAAACACTATAACATCCATTCTCATTCAATTTAAGTTATGGATTCAACTCAATTCTAGTAAAACAAAACAAGACAAAAACAAGATTTTTGGTGTGGGTAAAATAACTCCAAAATTCTATTTGAAAAATAAACGAAATATCCAAAGAGTATTTTTTAAGAACAACAAGAGAGAGGTTTTTGGGTCTTCCCGTCAGGTAATAAAAAGCTTAATAGTTCTCATAATACTGGGGCGCCTGGGTGGCTCAGTCGTTAAGCGTCTGCTTTCAGCTCAGGTCATAATCCCAGAGTCCTGGGATCGAGCCCCACATCGGGCTCCCTACTCGGCAGGAAGCCTGCTTCTCCCTCTCCCACTCTCTCTGCTTGTCTTCCCTCTCTCGCGGTCTCTCTGCCAAATAAATAAATAAAATCTGGGGCACCTGGGTGACCTAGTCATTAAGCGTCTGCTTTCGGCTCAGGTCATGATCCCAGGGTCCTGGGATCGAGCGCCGCATCGGGCTCTCTGCTGAGCGGGAAGCCTGCTTCTCCCCCTCCCACTCCCCTGCTTGTGTTCCCTCTCTCGGTGTGTCTCTCTGTCAAATAAATAAAATCTTAAAAAAAAAAAATAGTTCTCATAATACACTTTCCAAGGCTAGTCCCAATTCTTTATTATTTACACCTGTCATGAAGAAATGCCAGCCTCTAACTAGAGCAAAGAAGCAGACACATGAAAGCACACTACTATACACACCAAACACACAGCTACATGGAATTTAACCAGGAATTCAGGCAAAAAGAGAACAGTTAGAAATAATAACCCAGTAACTGATGTGGGAGATCCTGCTATCTGTTCCATTTCAAGGCAAATGGCCTGGAGGCGAGAGGGGACTCTGCTGTCCCTTCTACACACACGGAAGTCCCCCTTCTCTCATTCATCTACTAGTGGGAGCATCTTGATGTGCTGAGTCCGACCAAGGAATAACCTGGATTTGATGTCTGTTTCCCATGCTGACTTTAGAAGGCAGCCTTCACCCAGGCCAAGAACCAGGTGTTATTTCCTCTTCTTTAAATGCTTTTTCCTAAAAGCCTAAGTGCACATTGCCCAAACCCAAGGGCTCGGCCAGCCTCTTTGCTCACTGACCTTCTCGGCCATCGCATCCATGTAGTCCTGTCGCTGGTACTCTCTCCGGCGCAGATGCCTGTAGACATGGAACTCTCCACTGCCAGCCCCAGCGCTTGAACCTATAGTCAGGAGAGTCCAGAGTTCTTAATGAAATCCAGTTACCAACATAGGCTACCCTTAATCAAAAGGGACCAAAAAAAAAAAGAAACTGAAGTAATGGAATGGACCATTCCCCATTGCACTCCAGAACCTGGCACAGTGACTTGCATAGCGTAGTCATCATTAAATAATTATTGCATGAATGCTGAATGCGAAGTCACGAAAAATCCCACTCTAACATAGTAGGAGGAGGAACAAACTGTGGTTGAGAGACCAGAAACCTAGAAGATAGCTTAAGACCTTTCCCTCCCCTGCCAGTTGATTTCACATTTGACATGCTAAATTTCTACTGAGCTGAAAAGATGCCCATGTATATTAAGTTTAAAAAAAAAAACAGTTTACTAAGTAGTATGTGTTGAACAACCACATTTTTATAAAATCATTTTTTCTTAAACCTGAATGGTTTTGACTACAGGAGTCTGAAAGGCTGTATCAGCATGTTACAAGTGGGGGGCACCTGGTGGCTCAGGTGGATTGAGCAGCCAACTCTTGATTTAGGATCAGGTCATGATCTCAGGCTCCTGAGATCGAGCTCCGTGCTCAGTGGGGAGTCTGCTTGGGATTTTCTCTCTCCTTCTCCCTGCTGTGCTCGCTCGCTCATGGGCACGCTCTCTCTCTCTCTCTCAAATAAATAAATCTTAAAAAAAAATGTTACAAGGGGAATGGTGGAATTATGGGGGTTCAAAATTTTTCATACCTCTGTTATTTATTCTTTATAATTAGTATGTTAATTTACAACCCCAAAATAAAACTATTTCCAGTTAGAAAAAAACAATACAACGCATTATTTAAAACAATGCAGAAGAAAATTCTCTAGTGCCAAACCATAAGCAATAACACCCCTTCTTTGTAAGTACAAAATTACTGAACCAGTAAACTTTTTTTTCCTGTTAGAGATCTAATTAACAAATACTAACTGCCGGGTTTTTATATCTACACTTCAAAAATTATATTCACTGACACACATACACAAAAGCCATTACCCATTACATCTCGAACAAATTCTGGGGGAGGCCGAGGTGCCCATTCGCTCATTTTTTCTGGAATTGGAACTGCTTTGTCCTGCAACATTTAAACACAGAAGCATCTTTAAGTACAAACCTGCTGACAAATTCACATCTCTTAAAACCAAAGCGTTTTAACTGGATGGGTGAAATAAGGCTGCTCTGCTCCTTGGACCTAAAGCTGATTTTCTTCCCTGCCTTAGATTTACTTCATCCCATATACTTTGGGGTCTATCACAGCCCATAGCCTTGCCAGGGCTACACCTAACTTTCCAAAGCAGAATTCAGAAACGTTAAGTCACCATTTATGGCTGGAAACCTCTAACCTTAACTCTACGACACCCGGAGTCAACCCTTTCTAGCCAAAGGTGTTAGAAGAGACCTCATCCAATTATTTTTATGACTGAAGGGACCGAGACCCCGACGGGAGAGTGACCTGCCCCAGGTATGTAGGCCAATGCCCCTCTAACAATCGGTGCTGTTTAGAAGAAAATAAACCCTTGTGCCGACCCACAGATTCTATCTTTCTGTGAACTTTCTGTGAACGCTTCAGTTCACAAAAAGTTAAACTAGAAGTGTCTTAGAGCACGGGAAACCGCTCCACAGCGCCCTCATCCCGCCGGGGCTCCCACACAAGGCCAGGGGAAGCTCACTATCTCCGAGGTAGCCTACTCCTTCCTAAGGGCTGACCGTGGGGTTCGGGTACTGAGCTCCTAAGTGCGGAGGCAGAGGAGGTGGGCCCGCGGGTCCCCGGAAGCGCTGGAAGGGAAGGGCGCTGGGAGGAGCCGTCGAACCAGCGCCTCGTCTCACCGGGTTCTTCATGAGCCGCTCCAGCTTGAGCTTCTGCTCTTCTGCCGCATTTTTGGGGATAACGAGCGCTTGTGGTTCTTTCTTGGGCCTCGGCGGTCGCACCGAGGAGGCAGCCGAACTCGCCATCACAGCCCCCCTTCTCTCTCGGCGAGCGGCAGCGGCGGCGTGCACGTATGACGACAGAGCCGCGCGCCAGCAGCGCAAGCGCAGTCCGCTAGCAGGGCGGGGCTGGAGCGGAGTCGCAAGCCCGAAGCAGGCTGCTGAATATTCATGAGCTCGTGGCGGGGTGCTTTATCGTGATCAAAGCCGCTTGAATTCATTTCCTGTGTCTGAGCAAATCAGGGCAGCCGAGCGCCCACGTTCCTATGGGAGAGGGCCTTGCACGCCCGAGGGTTCGACCCCAGCCGGCCTCTCCAGTTCGCGTGCTCGTCATAGCTCCGCCGGCAGCCCTGCTAATGGCTCTCAGCATTCCCCTCCCGCCCCCGGGTCTTTGTCCGGGCGGTTCCTTGGGTCTGGTCCACTCTCCCTCCCATTTCTGACAATCTATTTAAGATAGCGCAGACTTGTCACTGAGCTCCTTGAGGACTGGGGCCATGTCTCTTTTGTCCTCGAATTATTCTGCACCTGACACCCAGAAAATGTACAAGGGTCGAATGAATGAGAGCCTTTCTTATGAGAAAGAGGAAAGCCCCCCCCCGCCCATCTGGAAGCTAGCCTGGCACGCACAGATAGGCCTTGATGTCCTCCTCTTGGACATAAACAATTTCCCAGAACACCAACAGCGCACAAGGCCATTCTGTCACCATGTTGGAGTGAGGCATAAACAAGACTGCTCTGTAATCATGTTTGAACATAGTTGAAAACAGGAATATTGTTGGAACCACAAAAAGACCAAACGTTTTCCTCATTCTGGCTCTTGGGAGTAACTGCTGTCTTCTTTAAAGCGTTAGCCTCAGTTCACTTTACATTTTTTTTTTTTTAAAGATTTTATTTATTTATTTCACAGAAAGAGACACAGCAAGAGAGAGGTGGGGGAAGAAGGAGAAGCAGGCTCCCCGCTGAGCAGGGAGCTCAACGTGGGGCTGGATCCCAGGACCCTGGGATCATCACCTGAGCCGAAGGCAGTCGCTTAACAACTGAGCCACCCAGGCGCCCCTCACTTTAAATATTTATGAAGAGAGCCAGTCATGGAATTGTGTTGCTTCTAATCCAGAATTAAACCCACTTGCTTGAACCCTCCCCCAAGTCACTTCACCCAAGCCCAAATCCTATAATAAGGCCTCTTTCATACCCCCTTCTTGAAGTAAGTGCAGTCTTCCTCCTCGGAAGAGGCAACAGAACCTCTTTTTCAACTACAGGTGTATTTCTGGTGGTCTTCACACTTGCTTGTTTTCTCATTTATTATTTGTCACCCACTAAAGAGTGGACATTCTGTTCACTACTGTATTCTGATATCTGGGGCAAGGCCTGGCTCACAGCAAAGTACCCAATTAGCTTTTGCTGGATGATGGTGGGATCTTGGGGGCCAGGCACCTCAGGTACCACTGTTGCTGTTGCCTGCATGCCTGCTCAGCCCAGGACAGCTCTCCCACTGAATGTCCCCTGCCGGCCAGGTGACCGCTGTGACAGGGTGTTGTGTTAGTGTCCTAACGCCATTCCTGACCCCCTGATTGTAGGTGATTTTCCAGTGACCAAGGGTGATGAATTAGGAGAAGTCTTTTACTGGCCCAGGTCTGTCACTGGAAACTCTGGAGGGCTTGGCTTGGGTGTGGTCATGGACACATGACCCTACATCACACACTCTAACCACCCAGGTGCCTCGTTTTCCCCCAAATATGCCACACACACAAAAGGACTTTACCTGGAGTCTCTTTCCTTTCCTGGAGAACTCCCACACACCCTTCTTAGCTTTGCTTAAATGCTACTTCCTCCATGAAGCCTTCTCTGATTACCCTCTTCCCCTGTCCCCATTCCCTTTTCCAGGCAGTTAGTTGCTCTCTTCTTGGTGCTCTCCCTGCTCTAGGTCCCGATGGTTGGCATATGGTAGTTAGCAGAGCGTGTCCTCACCATCTGCCTACCCACAAGTCTGGGAGGAGGGTTGAGCTGGAATCCCAGCATCTAATCCTGGCCTAGAGTAGAGTGGTGCTTCCAGAATGCTTGCGAAACAGAGGAATTAGGGAAGGAGGAAAGAGGGAAGTCAACAACTGCCTGAAAAAAAGAAAGAAAGAAAGAATGAATGAATGTGTAAACGCAATAACCAGGGGACAGATGAATGAATGAACATATGAGATAGTGGATCAGCAGAGAGTAAAGAGCCAGAGAGCAGCCATCTCCCCATCACCCCCCACCTCCGGGTCTGGCATAGAGCTGGTGTTTGGCAGACAGCTGCTGGACGGAAGTGAAATGAATGAATGAAGTGACTGAGCGCACAAGGGTGGGGGGCATGTGGGTGCGATGGAGCCAGTAATAACAACCTCAGTGTCCAAGCCTAGTCTAAGTGCATCGACGTGTTTATCATCCTGATTTACAGATAAGGAACTGAGGCCCAGAGGTGTGAGGGACTGGCTCAGGGTCGCACAGACTCAAACCCAGCACTCTGGGCCCAGGTCCGTGAGGGTCTGATTGATCACGAGTCTTAAGAATGGGAAGACCATGGCCCCCAGCAGGCCTTGATGGGGTCCCTCCATGTGGCCCCCTTCTAGGGCGGAGGCCAGTATTGAGGTTCTGCCCCGCGACTCCCACTGATGGGTGCCGCAAGTGTGGACTCAGACCCAGAGCACCACTCCCTCTGCCACCAGAGGGCAGCAGCGCTCCACCCAGGTGCACCTGCTGGCCTGTGCCCTGGAGGCCCAGGACCACGGTGCTTTGGAGTCTGGCGTACCTGGTGCCGAAGATTGGGTCCACCAATTCTGGACTGTGGGCTGGGGAAGCAACTTAATCTCTTGAAGGCTGTTTCTTTATGCAGAAGTAGGGGGCAAACAAACCCACCTTGACACTTGTGAATAAAATGAAGTGAGTGATGTTCAGTGCCCTGATACTCAACAGTAGGGTGACCACATATCCCAGTTTGGGCCCAGGACTGAGGAGTTTCTCAGGATGCAGGACTTTCAGTGTTAAAAGCAGGAGAATCTTGGGCAAACTGGAACAGCTAGTCACCCTAGAGGGGTGGGCCCTCCTCCTTTAATCCTTTGAGTTGTGGTTGGTACATAAAGAACTAAAACAGCGAAAGTGTCTATAACTATTCCGTAATTTAAGTTTCTTGCAGAATTAGTGAGTCAGTGGTCTTGCCACGATGGTCCTGCTGTTGATGACAAAAGAACAGTTTCACCAAGGGAAATCAAAACTGAGATGAAATACATCCACTTGGCAAAAGAGTTTGTCAGTTTCCTATAACAGGGGCACCTGGGTGACTCAGTTGGTTGAGTGTCCGACTCTTGGTTTCAGGTCAGATCATGATCTTGGGGTTGTGAGATCGAGCCCCATGTTGGGCTCCATGCTCAGCTAATGAAGAGTCTACTTGAGGATTCTCTCTCTCTCTCTCCCTCTGCCCCTCCTCCAGCTCACGCATGTTCACTCTCTCTCTCTAAAATAAATAAATAAATCTTTAAAAAAAAAAGATAAACATACATGTTCCATTCAACCCAGCAATCTTACTCTAGGCATTACCCTAGAGAAATGAAAATGTATGTCCAGTGAAAGACCTGTATATGAATACCTGTAGGAGTTCAGTTCATAATTGCTCCAAACTGGAAACAATCCAAATGATCATCAAGTTCTGATATATCCATACAGTGATGTACTGCTGAGGAATAAAAAGGAAGGAACTATTGATATTTGCAACCATATGGATGAATTTCAAAAGCATTATGCTTAGCGAATGAAGTCAGATTCAAAATGCTACAACCTTTTTTTTTTTT